TATAATATAATATAATATAATATAATATAATATAATATAATATAATATAATATAATATAATATAATAGCATTACTGGGAGGAAGTGAAAGCCAGGGAGAGGAAGTAGGGTATACTTAAAGGAAGTAGGTCTCTGGGAGCAGATGCCATCTTACCTGGCCTGTGAAAACAGCCAGCCATGGTAGACGGAGCCTTCTGTAAGTACCAGCCGGCACCAGTCCCTCCTCTTCTAAGGTGCTGAGTCTGGTGTTTTGTCACCTGGTAACCAACACACATATAACTATCAGTCATTATCTTAGGGATGAGATGTGCAGCTCAGAGTCTAGAGTAATAAATTAACGTTATTAGATTAATAGATTAATAAGTAACAGGTGGGATTGGAACTAGGCTAGCCTGACACAGAGATTAGGGTTCTGTCTAGGAAACATAGTTTAAAATGCCTGAGTAGTTAGTCCCCGAGCAAAGCATGTGTCCGGTACGTACTCTCAGACGTAGATTACAACAGCATCCCAAGCCCCTTGCTGAAAGCCATTTAAATCAAGGGCCTGGTTGTCAGGAAAGATATCGAATTTGAAACACTAAGGCACAGAAGTTTGTACTTGGCCTTACATGGTGCCAAATAGCGAGTAATTTTGAGGCTGGACGCTTTATAGAGGCAAGAAGCAGTTCTTTCTTGAGTTTGCACGTGGGTAGGTTTGCGCTGGCAGTCGAGCCAACAGGAAGGACGAAAGCCACCTTCCTGCTTTCTCCCAGTCGTGTAGACGCGGCCCATGGAGTTCCCACACAGACCAAACAGTCTGTGTTCCCAGAGGCTGGGGAAGAGTTCTGTAGGGAAAGTGCTTACAACAGGAAAGCTCATCTGAGAGTCTAAACATTGACCAGAATCAGAAAATTCCAGAAGCATCTGGAGTAGGTCAAAGGGAGTGAGAGCAGGAATCACAGATCCCTGAGTAATACACTACCAAGCCTGCATCATCATCATCACCATCATCACCATCATCATCATCATCATCACCATCATCATCATCTTATTATCATTATTATTTTATTATTGTATTTATGTATATAATAAATATGAGTAAGCCTGTCATGGCATAGATGTGAGGGTCAGAGGACATATTTCAGCAATCAGCTCTTTCTTGCTATGATACGTTCTGGGGACAGTACTCCAGTTTTCGATCTTGGGTGGCAAGTGCTTTTACCCGTTGGACCATCTTGCTGGTGTGAAGGCTAGTGTTTTAGGTGGTCTGCGACTACCATACTATCGAGGGAGAATTTCATGGCCACTTACCTTTGAATGAGTCAGTAGATTCGTAAGTATGAAGGGAGGAAGAACATATTCAAGACTGTGGCTACTACGCGCTGACAGACAGGACACCTTGGAGACCTGGAAAGGTGAGGGGAATAACACTGCGGCCTTTGTTAATGCTACTGAGAACCAGGGCGTCAAATCAGATAAAGGTCTACCACAGGTTGGAAGACAGTGAGCATGATGTGTTTACATTGTAATACCCTACTACGTGGGAAATGGTTCCTTGGGTCCTCATGACCCCTGCATGACCTTTTGCTTGCCGGTTTATTTCGTTGACTCTACAGCTATATGGAGATCCGTAGGGAGTGAAATTGGGATTACTTGTGTTTTGTTTAAATTATAGGGAGGAAAAGTGACAGATGACGTGTCTACAGCCCTCAAAGATGGAAAATGTCCCTATTGTGCCTTCCTAGAACAGAGGAAGTTTGGGGTGGGAGAGATCTTCATTTTATTTTAACATCTGTTGTATTTTTAAATTATATGCCTGTAACTGTGTGGGGGTATGTTTATGTGTGTGCAGGTGTCCCAGAAGGCACCACACCTCCCCACAGCTTGATTTGTAGTTGTAAGCTACCCGCAGTGAGTGCTGGGAACTGAATACAGGTTTTCTATGAGAGTAGTGGGCTTCTAACAGCCGCAAGGGCAGTCTTTATTTTAACTAACAGTATTGGTTCCACTCTGCTGGGGGCTGCCTGCCTGTAGGGGCACTGAGCAGTCTTCTTCTTCTTCTCCTTCTCCTTCTCCTTCTCTCTCTTTTTTTTTTTTTTTGGTTTTTCGAGACAGGGTTTCTCTGTATAGTCCTGGCTGTCCTGGAACTCACTGGGTAGACCAGGTTGGCCTCGAACTCAGAAATCCGCCTGCCTCTGCCTCCCAAGTGTGGGATTAAAGTCGTGCGCCACCACCGCCAGGCCAAGCAGTCTTCTTAAGAAAAGCAGAGTAATGCTGCTAGAAAGACAGTTGTCAGAGTTTGGTAGATAAAGTATCGAAGTCTCAAGTTTCACTTCTCCCTACTGAAGGTGCTAAAAAAGACTGCAGGGCACAAACTAGTCAGTGTGGGCCGTCTGGAACGCTGCTCCAGGCTGAACAAAAGGAACTGTGGTCTGAGATTTCGGTCCTGTGCAGACTAAGCCAGCTGGTTTTGGAGGCTGCAGACTTTCTTCTTTGTCCTTGCACAGGACGCTTAAGCAAACAGAATAGGCAGCCGCTAGGAGGTACCCGAGCTTTTTCTGTTTTCTGCTAGGGCAAGCAGAAATGGCTTACAGTGAGTCTCTCCACTAGGCGGGTCCAGGCGGGTGGCGCGTTTCCAAGGTCGTGGTTGTGATAAGCTTGCTTTTGCAGCCTTTTAAGAATAAACAGCTTTTTAATTTACAGAGGCAGAGGAGGCATTATCTCCCCACAAGGTCTACAGGCGAGAACGCCAGCCACATGCATATGAGGATGCCCCTCTGTTCTCTGTAGGGTGGAGGCAAGGTGGTGGATCCCAGCGTGCACGCACCTCCCCTTGTGCCCGCTAGCATCAGTGTGTGTGTGTATGCGCGCGCGCGCGCGTGCATGTGCCTGAGCGTGTGAGCTCGCGCGCGCGTGCACGCAAGTGCGTGCATAGAATCGTAGCTAAGCACGGGCTGATCTGATTAAGGGAGCCCAGGAAGGAATAAATATTCGCCAGCCTCCTCACTGCTCGTTTATAACCAATCAATTGCAGAAAGGCGAGGGTGACAGCAGCCTGGGCACAAGGAGTGCGGGTCCCCAATCTGTGCATACTCGGGGATAGACACATGCGCGTGTGCACGCACGCACCAGAGGGGCTGCTGCTCTTATTGTGTGCCTCCCTCTGCAGAGAACAAGGGCAGCGGCGAGGGGCCTGCACCCCGGGCTAGCGTCGCGGCTCCAAGCAGGTCACGGGAGGCAATTTCGCGGGTGGGGGAGGGAGGGGGAGACCTTGATTTCCACCAATCCCGGGGCGCGTGTCTGCGGAGTCCAGGGCACAGCGGAAGGCTGCGGCGCACCGCTGAATGAACTGATGAGAGAGAGTTCTAGGGTTGCCCGGGAGGGGCGCGGAGCGAGGGTCCTGGCGGGCGCGGCTGAGGCGCCGGGGGTGGGCTAGCGGTCCCGGGCCATCGTGGAAATTTCCAAGGACTTGGCGTGGCGCGGAGAGCGCATCTGAGGGGTGCCGGGCACCTTGGCGGCGCAGGAGGCGGGGAAAGGGCGGTGCAGGGCGCAGGAACATCTCTTTCTGGAAGGGACACAATCCGTCAGACGTCCGGGAGCTAGCCGCGCCTCTTCCAGGACCCTGGCCGAGGGCGACCGTGATGCTGCAGTAAGGGCGGGAGCAACCGGCCCACAGCTCTTCACTGCTTCATCCCTTCAGCGCCCGCTATCTGCGTGCAAAGACACCAAGGTTCGTGATTTGCCCGCAGGCCACTTCTCTAGCGAAGACAACCCAGTAAAAGTTGCATTGGAGAAGATCCTTGTAGCTGACCTCTGGGGGCCGTGGTTTGGGGGTTCCCCAGCCGTGCGTTTGCGAGCTGGAAAACCAAAGGTGTGTGTGTGCATGGGGGGCCGGCCACTGGGGCATCCTCTGCTGCCACTTTGCCCGGCGTTGTGCTGAGGCTCCCACCACTGACCCTGGGACACTGAGGCTGCGATGAGCCCCTGCTGGCGGGCCTTACAGACGTCCAGAGGGGCCATGGCCATGCTGGCGAGGAAATTCCCGCGTACACGGCTACCCGTGGGAGCCAGTGCCCTCTGTGTGGTGGTCCTCTGTTGGCTCTACGTCTTTCCAGTCTACCGGCTGCCCAACGAGAAGGAGATCGTGCAAGGGGTGCTGGCACAGCGCACGGCTTGGAGGAGAAATCAGACGTCAGCCAGGCTCTTCAGGTACCTACTGTTGGCCGTCGCTCCCCTCCAGCATCCTTTCCTGCTAGTGTGCTGAGGGCAGGGTTAGGTGTGAGGCTTGCCCTCCGTGCCTGCGTGTCCAACCTCGAGACTTAAGTCAGGGTCTCTGTCCCATTCCTCACCCCAAGAGGCGTTTCAAGATACCTTTACAGAAATCAAAGATTTGTTATCTGTCTCTAGTCCGTGCTGTTTTTGCAATTGACCCATCTCTGTGGGAAGGGAGACCCAGGACAACTTAGAGCCGATTACTTTCAGAGAATTTATTTCTAAGACTCTGCGGATATTCGGTGCTGAGGAGGAGTAAGCTAGAAGCAGGTTAAGAGGCGTTCGGGGGGCAGTTGGTAACATAAATCAACCCTGCAGGAATGGTTAGCAAACCTCCAGTCACGAAAACCTGAAAAGTACCCAGGCCTTCACCGCGGCTTCGCGCAGCGTGCCCGTTGTGAGTTCGGAGCACGGAACCATGACCCACTAAGCGTCGGACCTGCACGATTTTTGTGTTGAAATTTCAACAACTTTTTGATGACATATTTTCTCTTCTGACCGATTTTTTGGGAGAACAAGTTACTAGCCCAAGGTCATTTGTTATCTTCGTATGACAAAGTGCAGGTCCGGAATCCTTACCACTCGAACACTCCGAAGCACCGGCGGCCTTTTTTTTTTTTTTTCTTCCCCTTAGACTCCGGAATATTGGTGGGAGGTGTACGTGAGGAGTGAAATCAGAAAACAAAACCCAAGGCCAGGTTTGAAAGGAGACAGCACAGAGTTCTCCAGCTGGTGGTTTCTCCTCTTGGGGGAGGTGCTAATTTGAGGAACAGAAGACAGGTTAGTAACACAAGTTGGGTAAGCTAGACTGCAGCGCAGATAGGAATCTCTTTACCTGTTACCTGCATGTTGGGGGAACTGGCAGGCTCTGACCGGGACCCCGGGACAATGCCTTCTCATCTTCAGCCCTGGCGCCAAGTTTTTGCCTTCTGGTGGTGGTCTGAGGGAGGAGCTGAGAGACAGGCAAGAGCCAATGGAAGCCTTTTCTACTGCCATTACGGTCTAAAGCAAAATCTTTAAAAATAAATAATTTTCCTCCTTAGGCCTATTTCTGGAAAGGCAAGAGGTTATACAGTTCTTCCAGAATCTAAAGGAATGTTTCCTTTCAGCTGATATTTTCTTTCAAATTTAGAGGGAAGGTCTTTTGCTTTCTTCCTCGCTGCTGGTCTTCTTCACTCTGCCTTTGTTAGTTTTCAAAGAAATTCCACTGTCCTTGAAAGTACCCAAAGATGATTCCTTTTCCACCTTAGCAGTGTTGTCTGTTGGGCTCTGAGGCAGGTGGAATGCATACCATCCTGTGGTTCTTCACAGACAGAAGGCACTTCCGAGTGGCTCTTAACAGGGAACAGGCACTTTTCAGTTCAAGAAATGACTGGAAATGAGTAAAGACCTGTTATATATATTGAAGGCCTGTTAGGAAATAGATTTCTTTTGAGAGGACACTGTCAAGAGCAAAAGGTTTCATGATGTGATAAACAGAGGCAAATGTTTTCTGGGACACATTTGCTCCTGGTTGCCTTTATGCCAGGGTGGCCTTCATCCTTTAACTTGGTTTCTGTGTTCAGAGAA